TATATTATATATTAGACATATTATACATATATATTATATATATTATACGTATATATTAGCTATTATATGAAGGTTTTGATCATAAAATTAATTGTTATACAAAAAAAAAATAAAAATTTAAATTTTCATATTTTAATTTGCAGATTTTACTAATTCGCCGAAATTAATAGATAATGTGATTATAATAGATAATTAATAGATTATGTGGTAATATGGATAATTAATAGGTAATACGAAATTAATAAATAATGTAGTTTATCAAAGTTACACAAAATTTTTCTATTCCAATTGATCATTTCAAAAATTTTTCAATTTCAAAATTTTAGACTTTAAAGCTAAAAATTGAAACATTAAATGTCTCTTCCCTTTTTTCCAATTACATAAATTTCATTTAAAAAGCAAAAGTTTAAATTTGTAAAATTACAATTTCAATTTTGATCGAAATTCTATTTTAGGTAAATTAAAATGTTTTTCAAATGTTAGCAATTTCACTGTCAACAAAATTAATTTTTATTTGTGACAGATTTTTGAGTGAAATTTTAAATTAAAAATTTATTTAATTATAATTTCATTTGTTGTATGAAATGAAATGACTTACAATTTTGCAAAAATAATCCATATTTTTGCTTCCTTTTTCTGCTTCATTTTTCTTCTTTTGATCTTTATTGTTGCTGCCAGCTTCTTTTTTCAATCGTTTCTTTTTATCCTTTATTTATTTGCTTTTATTTTTTTCAAATAAATGATAAGAATCAAATTTTACTGTTGATAAAGCTGTCAATAAGTTGTATATTCATCAAACAAATGATATGAGTTAAATTCTACTGTTGATAATAAAGCTGTCAATAAGTTGTATATTCATCAAATGGAATATTATTTTGAACAGTGGTTGTTGATTTTTTATCATTGTGTTATATGAAATCTCGGGCAAGAATCGCGGTAAAATAACGCTATCTAGCAGGCGTAAAAGAGAAACTTACAATGTTGGCAATATCAAAAGTATGTGAAGGTATAATTTTTAAGCAAAATTTTAAATTTGAAACCTTAATTAACCTCAATTAACCTCAACCAATCAATAAATCACAGGTAAAACTAAAAATGAAAATATAAGTATTTTTTGCAAAAAAGCTTAATTTCATGTATTTTTTAAAAGATTCAAATTATATTTGTAAATTTGAAAAAATTACTTCCTTCCGTCGTTTAATCAATGGTTGTTGTACATTTTCACGTATATCCTGTTGCGATACACTTAAACGTTTCCCAAGAACTCGACTAAAGTGTTTTTGTAAATCATACATTTCCTTATCGCTATCATTTTGAATTGAACATGAAGAAGAATCGTGAATCATTTCATCATCGATATCCGTTTCAGAAGTTGATCGTGAAGGGGAGGAATGAGATGTATTAGCAATTAATCCGATCCGCTTCAAATTTTCCTCACTTTCTTCATTAACTGTTTTTCGTAAATGTTCAACAGTTGATAATTTATGTTTAACGATAGCATAATCCGTAATGGAAGTTTGAAACGGATCATTTTTCGAAATATTTCGCTTCTGATATCGATTATTTTGACTGAAAATAAATTGATCATACTTTTTCTCATATTTCTTTATAAGAAATAATAACAAATATCACTTCAATGTTTAATCAATAATTATTACGTTTGATAAAAAGAATTAATATTTTAGAATTGCTATGAAATTATCTATGTATGGCTAAAATTTTGAATTTAATTATATTAGGCTAAGGGTATAATAAGGTTTGCTTTATTATTTCTTATTTGCATAACTTCTATAATATTGCTATTTCACTTATAACTTACTGCCAGATAAGTGTGGTTGATTTTTATCTGTACGCAATACTGAAGTATCAAAAATGATTTTCCATATTGTAAAAGTTCATTATCTGATCAATCAATAATTGCAGTAATTTTCAAATTTCATATTTGATATTCCTTTTTTTTTTGTTTTTCAAATACTTTTTTAATTGGAAGAAAAGTTAACGATAAGCTTTGTTTAATACTAAAATTGTTATTTAATTATATTGAATAAGAAATATTCGTACCAGTTGGTAATATCAGTAAATTGTCGTCTTCTCATTTGATTTTCTTCGCTTCTAAATGCTTGCGCACTATTTTCCATTAAAATTGCCAGTGTTGTCTGAAATTTTCATTTAATAAATTATATAAAATTTTATCAAGAAAAGAAAAAAAATCATTTAGCATAAGTTTATAATTTTGCAATTTTAGAATTTAGCTAAGTTTATAATTTTGTAATTTAAAAATTTAGCTAAGCTTAAGACTTTGTAATTTAAAAATTTAGCTAAACTTATGGTTTGGTAATTTAAAAATTTAGCTAAGTTTATGATTCTGCAATTTGAGAATTTAGCTAAGATTAGGATGTTGCAATTAAAAAAATCTAGCTAAATTTAAAATTTTGCAAATTAAAGAATTTAATTAAGTTTAAGACGTTGCAATAAAAAAATTCGGCTAAGTTTACGATTTTGCAATTCGAAAATTTAACTAAGTTCAAGATTTTGCAATTTAAAAATTTAGTTAAGTTTTACAATTTTGCAACTTAAAAAATTAGCCAAACTTATAATTTTACGATTTAACAATTTAGCTAAGTTTACGATTTTGAAATTTAAAAATTTGTGATTTCAAATTTCAAAGAAAAAAAGGATGAAAATAATAATTGAAAATGAAATATTAAATTTTTGTTAATTAAATCTTACCCCTTCGATTTGCTTTTTATTCGAAGTTTTTTCCATTTGTGAATTTTCATTTCGAATTTCATCAATCGCTCCTAAACAATTCATTCTTTGTTATATTTACTTAAATATAATAATTTCAGTATTCGAATTAAAATTTGTATTTCAAATAAGAAAATTTAAATATTTGTATCATGCAATTGTTTTCATTGAATGAAATATAAAAGAATATTAAAAAAAGAGAAATTGGTAGAATGCGCAATTTGAAAATTCTCAGGTATATCAGGTAGAGTATTTAAATTGCTAATTGAATTTGAAATTTTTAATGACAGCCTAACTGCATATGGATCAAGAAAGAATGAAAGAAAGAGCAAAACAAAATTAACCAATTAATTTGTTCTCGCCATGTTTGCTATCAGCAGCTAATCTGAAATGTATATATTATGTGTTAGCAAAAAGTTTTTTAAGAATAAGCTAATTTGAAAAGCTAATTACTTCGTTTAAATGTTGCGATTGAGTAATAAGAGAAGTTTAAAATTTTATTAAATTTGCTTTAATTAAATCTGACTAATTAAGATGGAATTGCAATGATAAGAGCACTAATCAATATCACTTTTATTAAGATTATCAATTTAAGATTTTGCTAAAATACAGAAAAATTTTGTTAAACAATTTCATTAATTCATTTTCTCTATTGCCAATTATTTAATTTCAAAGAACAAAAAAAAATTTCAAAATATGAATAATTTTATGGAAAATTATTTCAATTTCAAATATTTATTTGTTACTAATAATTTAATTCTATTCGAATTTGAATTTGTTAATAATTATTCGAATTGTTAATAATTCTAATTCGAATTCGAATTAATTCTATTCGAATTTGAATTTGTTAATAATTATTCGAATTTAATTCTATTTGAATTGTTAATAATTCTAATTCTAATTCAAATTTGAATTTGTTAATAATTATTCGAATTTAATTCTATTCGAACGAAGATGTTTTATTGAATTTTGAATTTTGAATAACAACAACAACAATAACAACACAATAATTTGACAGTATCACAAAGAAAAAAAGAAGAAGGAATAATTAACGGATGATATTTCATCTAAAATAAATATTCGGGAATGGTTGATTAATGGGAACTAAGTGAGAGTAAGATTTTTACGACAATCAATAATAATAATAACATGTGAAGAAAGTATCAGATATCTTTACGGGCGAAACAGTCAACAAAACATCATCACTGTATACCACAATATAGCAATATGTTAATTATTATTTGGAATTTTTTTTGCTCTACAAGAAGTAACTTTAAATTAGCTCTCTTTTAAAAAGTTTCTTACAACAAATAATTCCGATGAATTCGATATAATCGATATATATTAAACAAATAATTAAATACAAATTAAAAATTAAACTGAAAATAATTTTATAAAATTTTAGGTAAACATCAAATTTTATTGGAATTATTAAATGTAGATATTCATAGAAATTAAGCAAATAATTAAACTCAAATTAAAAATTAACAAAAAATTAAACTGAAAACAATTTCATGAAATTTTAACTGAACATCATCAAATTTTCAATTTCAATTATAATTATGAATAAAAGAGTTTTTAAATTTTAAAATTCTCTCTCTCTTAATAGGAATTCATAAAATGTAAAGACTGAAAAATAAAATAGCTATAAATTGAAATAATAATGTAAAATAAATGTTGACAGTATATTAAATAATGAAAGATGAAAAAACAAAAATTTAAATTCATTTAATTATTTTATTAATTTCATATTTATTTAATTGATTATTCTATTTCTCCCAAATATAAAACTTATTCTTAGTTTATATTTTATAAAAAGAAAATGTAACAAAGAAAATTTTGAATAAAAGAATTTTTAAATTCTCTCTCTCTCTCTCTCTCTAAAAAAAGAAGCGATAATAAATTCTAACCTTTCAGCTGATGATGGGAAAACTGTCGAAAACATTAGCAATGAATGATAATTTTTAGAGGAAAAGCTTCACCACATATGCTTTCTGATAGAATTTATTTTACTGAAATTTAAATTCATTTAATTATTTTATTAATTTCTTATTTATTTAATTAATTATTCTATTTCTCCCAAATATTTGCTTACTTTTATTTAATTATGCCTAATTATTTTTAGTAAACATTACCGCTTTGTTTTGTTTTTTATTCATTTGTTAATTGTATTAATTATGAAAAAAAGAAATTTGTCCTAATTTTGTTTTCTTATTGTTTTTTAGGTTTTCCCATTCCATTTATTCATTTTCGATTAACATATCAATGGGGACGATCATTCTCCAGATGGTATCATTCAACAATTGCGCCACTTATCAAGTAGTACATGTGATTGAAATCATATGTGAATGAATACATATACATATATTTTGAATATTTCTATTAAATAAATTGATAAAGTCCAATAAATCACCTGTTAAAATGATAAGAGCGCTTATTGCGCTTTTTTATATATATTATCGATGGATGGAAAATTGTTATAATATCAATGAAATTGATAATTTAATTTAGCAATGATAAGAAATAAGTAAATTTATCGATTGTTTCCGTATTTAATTTAACAGTCGGATTTTTTTTCTTTTTGTTTTTGTTTTATCGTTATTTAGAAAATCACCGAAATTATTATTGTAATAGTATAGGTAAGTAGATAGATAGAATTGATAGGATGCATTTGAAGAGTTGCGGTGAATTTTGATTGCGACCGCTAACCCTTCTGATCTTTTCCACACTTTTCTATCACTTCTACCTCTGAAATTGAAATATTTTACAAATCAATTATAGCTGTCAAATATAGCTATTGCACGATATATGCAAGTATATTTTAAGAGTTTTAAATCTAACTATATAAACATTCAACAAAAAACAACTGAAATTTCTTTTTAGCTAATTTTCTTAAAAAGTTTTGTGAATTTAAAAATTTGAAAAAATTTTAATTGTAAATAAGTAAAACATAAATAAACGACTATGAATCATAAACATATCACATATATATTATTCGAAATTCTTAATGACAATTTTATGACTAATTAATTCAGATTTCAAATTTAAATGAAAGATCCAATTATTGGATAAACGTCTAGTGGTCACCATTTACTCCATCTCTTCTTCCTCACTTTCTAAATCATCATCATCATCATCATCACCATCATACCGATCAATTTTAATTTCACAAAATGAAAGAAGCTATGAACATTTGAAATAAAACTAAACAGCTGCAAAATCCATAGATCCAAAAAGGGATCATCGTCTTATACCAATCATCAAATCTCGTCTTTCTCACATTTTTATGTTAATATTTTGTCCTATCTCTATCAATGATTCAAATGTTGACACCTTTTATAATGAATTCCTTTTTTCTTCTTGAAAGGCAAAACGTAAATGAAAAATTACCCTAAAAATTAATGAAGAAATTTGAAAATTTGTTAAACATTTTGATTAATCGAATTTAAATTTAATTTTTATAAAATTTTGAAAACGTTAAAAATGTTTTTCTTTTATTGTTGAATAGCTTAATTATTCATATAATAATAGTTAATTAAATTTTTAATCAAATTTTTAAATAGAACTTAAAAACTTAGACATTAATTTAATACTTTAACATTATGTGTAAAAGTTAACAAATTTGAAAAAATGAAAATTTTAGATTTAGGCTTTTAGTAGGCCTTTAATAGGCCTAAATTTAGGCTTTTAATGGCCTTTAACAAATTTACAAATAATGGAAATGGAAAAATTCGAGCAGCTGAACGCTGCTCGTATTGTTAATTAAATTTTCGAATTTTGAAATAGAACTTAAAAATTTAGACATGAATTTAACACTTTAAGATTATATGTGTTTAATAGGCCTAAATTTCGACTTTTAATAGGCCTTTAATAGGAAATCTACAAATAGTAGAAATGGAAAAATTCGAGCAACCGAATGCTCCTCGCATTGTTTAATTAAATTTTCAAATTTTGAAATAGAACTTCAAAACTTAGACATGAATTTAACACTTTAAGATTATATGTGTTTAATAGGCCTAAATTTAGACTTTTAATAGGCCTTTCGTAGGAAATCTACAAATAATAGAAATGGAAAAATTCGAGCAACTGAATGCTCTTCGTACTGTTTAATATTACTCTGGTAATTAAATAAAAAAATTTTTTAATTTCTTACATTCAAAAATATGCCTTACCTATAAATGATGAAAATGGAAAAAAGTTTGAGCGTTTTGTTGTAAGTATAATGAAGTGCACAATTTGGCAACGTTTCTCTCAAAGGTCATTGTGGGTCATTTTTAACAGCAATATGCTGCTGCATTCAAAGTAATTACTAATTACTGTAATTCTGTGTGTGAATTTCTTCTAGAGGGCTGTAAATTCAGCAAAATAAATCATCCAATTTATAATAAAATCTTATTGTTAAAATTTTTTAAAATCATTTCTCTAAATTTTTGTGGAAATTAAAAAAATTTAATAATTGATAATTAAAATTAAACAATGGAAGATATTATAAAAAAACATAAAAATGTCATTTTACCCAAACATTAATTATGATTACAACGAATTATTGAAAATTTTTGAAATTGTGATTTGAAATTTTTTAAATTTCAAATTTTGAAATACTTAAAATATTAGCAAATTTCTTTCCTGTTATACAGCATAAATAGTATCGTGTGACTGGTGTGAATGGGATTGAAAGAAATGAACTGGTGAGAAAAGCTCTTCTGATATTACACATATATATATATAGAGCTATCTCACATCTATAATTTGGAAGGGATGGAGTCGGTTGGTAGAGGATAGGAAGAAGAGGCGTGACTTGAGTAAGACAAAAGAGCCAGTGGTCAAGGAAGGAAGAAAGCGCGATGACCTTGACATTCAGTAGCATCTATTAGAGATAACAATAAGGCTTAAAGGTTAGTTTAAATTGATGGATGATTAATTGAAGGTGAACTCATGATAACCTTCTTAGCTCACTTCATCGTCTCGTCTGTTTCAATCATTTTCTCTAATTTACGACAATACTAACAAACCAGGAAGATGGAAGATATCAAGGCCAGACAAAAACGTTGCAGTAGACATTCCCT